ATTTTATTACCTTCCAGAAGAAATAAGCACTAGATGCCCGACTGCATAACCAAAACCACTTTGAAGCTGTTGACCGCTGAGCATGTCAATCACTTTTCCCTGATATAAAGGGATGTAAGTATCGCCTGTTGAAGGAAAGGAAAAGATTAACATTTACTGTAAGTTGCTTTACTTACTGTAAAAGCAATGAATGGCAGCAATGGTTCGTTAATTTAAAAAAAAAAGTATGGTAAACCTTCTGGTACCAGAAGTGAAATGAATCTTTTAATGAGCTACGGTTTCAAAACCACCAACATGCTGTTCCTACGGTGTGAAGAAGTTTTACTGGGATTCTAGGAAAGGTGTTCAGTTTGCTATAGCTGTTAGCATATCAGAAAACGTGTTACATGACTGTAAGTAAAAAGTAATGAACGTTTGGTGGAGCATCAACCCCTGATATCCGCATGAATTGTGTGTCGGTTTTAACGTGTGTCCATTTCGTATGTATATTGGGATCAAGGGTGTAACATTCAGTGTTTAACTGTGTCCAGATAAACACTAAATGTTTAACTGCCCACCATCACCTCATGTGCCACATACATAAGGCATTCAACTCGCATAATTCTTTGTCATTTATTTTTAAAGGTTGAAATAACAAGAAATATAAAGGAGGGCAATGCTGAAACACATAACCAGCTAGCATCAGCTACATGTACCCATGTTCCTTTAGGAAGCTAATATAAATTTAGTCTATGTTTCAAAAACTCCAAAACAAATGTTATGTATTAATCACTGAGTAATAAAACATCAGCAACAGTAGGAATAATTGTTGCTTGCTTAAGTTTGTATCAAAATAAACTGCATTGCAAAGTTTTTTTTTTATTGTTCTTGTGTTTCTGATGGGTAATCATGGCATTTAATCAATATTATCAAGCTGTGAGAATCTCTTATCAGTTGATGCATATTAATAAATGTTAGATAAGGTTAATTATCAGAGGTTATACATACAGATGACTCCCATGATGAGGAAGCCAAAAGCTGCGATCAGATGAACAGTGTCTGGTTTGAAGTACGTCAGCACTCTCATGAGCAAACGTTTAGTGTCCAGATTGTCTTTTGTCTTCTGTCCATCTGGAGAAATCCACTTCTCCCACACCAAACAGGCCAACGACGAGGACGCAGCACCCAACAACAGCATTGTGAGATCAGGGGAAGGTTCTGCGGGCCGCTCCGAGGGAGGTGCAGTGAGGATCCGTCCAGTTTCAAACACAGGAGAAACAAGGCAGAGGAGCGCTGCTAACCTATGGAGTACTGCCCGCTGTTTTCCATCTGTTAGCGCTGAGATAAAAACATGGAGAAAAAGCCACTTTATCAGTCCAAAGGCCCACACTCCTGCCAGTCCACCACAGCTGGAGCACTTCCACAGCACCAGCCAAGCCCACTGTGCTGAACATAGGAAGGCATCAAGGAGAATGATGCACAGCGCCCATATTATCACCCCCATTACTGTCCGTTGATGGCCGGTCAAACTCCAACGGCTCGAGCTGGTCTAAAAGAGACAAGACATTACATGTACGTCAGCTTTATTTCATGTAGGTTGTATGTAAATATTTTTGACAAATCAAAAATGTGTAATATAAATATTGTCTTCAATGTAACACCCATGTTCTCTTCCATACTCTATATGACTTCCTGTACAGTTTATAGGACCAAGATGGAGGTCCTATAAAGCACTTGAAATTACCCAGAATATTTAATTTCCAGCTTTGTTATTAAAGATGATTCTGCCTTTTGAAAAGTGAAATATTATTTGTCAGAGGAATCAGTGTATTTGTTATTTTGAACCAACAGGTGCATCTTAAAAGTCACTGTTTGATGACTAGGTCCATGTTAATTGTATAGAATGTACAAAAATCACAAAACAATATAAAATGATATAGGTCATAGTGTGAACATTCACACATTTCCCCTAATATAGCCTAGTTTTTCATGTTCCCGAACAGAAAAATATGTAAACTAGATTGCATACTTATTTTTTTTTAACATGGAGCGTTTGTTTTTATAGTCTTTATGTTAAAAACTTTGCACGCAGTCAGTTGTTAGGATCACAGACAGCAAATTTTAGTCGTACCGTTAGCAAAGAAAACCCAGTATTCTTTAGTAATAAGGAGTCATTTGCTACCTTTATGAAACCTATGCACTAAACCAAAGCCTAGTTAAAAGTACTGCAGTGCTCATCTTCCATTTTAGCTAGAAAGCGTCAACCTTCAGCTACAAAATATACATTATGTTCCATAAACCTGTTAGCAATTTAACATTTACCTGAAGCCCACAGTAGGATTTAAACACGTATTTCGAGTAACTTACCGTTCTCCAATGCCTAGCCACAGGCAGCTAGCTGCTAGCTGCAAACTTACTTTCGGTTTCACTTTTACCTTCAGTTGATTCATGGTTGTTTGCTAATTATCAGGGAACATTAAACAACAGAAAACAACTGTTTATAAACAGATGTCTTAATTTGACTCGGTTGTTTATTGCTCCTCAACAGTAATAAAGTTTTAAATTAAAGTTTTGGCAGTTGCAGCCGAGCAACTGAGTTATTCACAATTCAGCCACAAGATGGCGGCAATGTACAATATATCCAGAATAATATATATTGTATATACTCAATATAATTTACAAAAATTAAATTGAATTAAAATTGAACCACCTTTCAGCTATAGCTGCAGCTCTTCTGGAGTATGTCTCTGCCAGACTTGTATATTTAGACACTAACATTTCCTCGGTTCTTCTCGACAGAACAGCTCGAACTCACTCAGACTGAATGGAAAACAAACGAACAGCAACTTTCAAATCTGTCCACATGTTCTCAGGTGGGTTTAGGTTTGAAGTGCTAACTACATTTACTGAGTTACATTTGCTTGAGTAACTTTTTGAAAAAACTGTACTTTTAGGGTCCATATTTTATATATATATATATTGTCTGATATTTTCAATATTGAATCAGATTTTACTGATCAGTTACATTGTCCTCTACTATTCTTTTCTTGAAACACCTTTTAACTCCCAAGTACTTACACTGACAAACATTAAATTCAATATCTTAAGGTTTCTACTTATGGATTGTACAATAGGTAAAATCTGATTCTCCCACTTGAGCCGAGGATCTCTGTAGCTCCTCCTGAGTTACCATGAACTTCTTTGCTGCTTCTACTTTTAATGCTCTCCACCCAGCCTGTAAGCTCAGATGATCCACTTGCTATATCTTAGAAGCTTCAGAAAATGCTTTTTTTTATTTTAATAAAACTAGAGTGTATACTCTATTAAATAACAGGAGACTTTTACAGTTTTATCTAAATTGAAGAACAACACACACAAAAACTCATACAGGACAATTTCAAAATTCAACTATTTATTTCCCCTAAATCATAATGTATAAATAAAGAATTTATAAAGATACAATTTGGTAAACAGCAAGACAAGACTCCAAAATGTGCTAACAAATCCTCTGATAAGTAAACATCGGGTTAAACAGTTTATTACTATGACACATTTGATACCTGAAATATTTCTTTAATGTTCAACAGTTTCTCGCTCATTTTATTAGCTCTGAAAGTATATGGACGAAGTGATTGTCTCACTGTTAACTGAAACATGTGATTGCTGAAAAGATAAACCACCATGTTTGAGCTGCTTCCTTTTTCTCACCTCAAAGATCAGTTCAGTGGAAACAAGGAATCATCTGTGAAAAGGAAGCCGCTGCAGGTCATCTTTTCCTAATAAACCAGCTACATAAAAAAGGCACTGTTCCATGACAGAGTGAGAGAGCAACAAACATGACTTGTTTTTCATTAAAACAAGAAGCTATTTTTGATTTCCTGACACCTTCAGGGGTTTAAAATAGTTTATACTTGAAGTTATTGGAAAATGTTAACCTTGATGTGCTTAAAAAGTCCAACACAAACCCTGTTCAAACTGCTATAAATCAGATACTTTAAAGTGACGCTGATTCACATAATTTTTCATTAGATTCCAATACTAGAATTAAACTACAAATCAAAACATGTCCCTGTACCCAAATACAGATGCATCTCAATAAGTTACATTAACAATTTCACTAATTCACCCAAAAAATGAAACGCACATAATCCCTCCCTGAATTCAGGTCTTCATAATTGAGAGAATGGCTGTGTACTTTGTGCCTAGCAGAGTCACCGACTCAAGCTACAAAAAAAAAAAAAGGCCGTTGCTAAAATTGCCAGCTATTCACCGTGCTGTATCAAACCCCGTCAATGGAAAGTTGAGTCGAAGGAAAACTAATATTTAAAAAAAAAAAAGTGGACAGGAACATATTTAGGACATGAGCTGCAAGACACTTCTGCAGAGCAGAGAGCAGATGGATGCTTCATTTTTTGCACTTTATTCTTAGAGAAATCTTTAAGCTTGTAAGCTTTGGAGTCAGTCTCTACGATCAATAGATTTATCAAACTCATAAGACAATGTAGTTACTTGGATTCATTTGTCTTGTTCCTTTAGGCTTTGACAGTTCAACTGAAAATGACAAGATATTCAAAAAGGAAAGACGCAATTGTTTGGCCAGACAAAGAGAGAAATCTGACCTCAGCCTGATTGGATGATAAAGGTGGGACTTTCAAATCTTAAAATGCTAAACTGTTAAGCACGGTGGTGGCAGCATTCTGCTGCTGAGCCACTTTGCTGCCAGAGACGCTGGCCTACATGTTCTTCAGTTCAAATTTGAATAAAATCTGACTCAATCACTCCAGTTTTGATCCTCCTCAAAGCCAGTGATGGGAAATCAAACCATTTAAATAACTTTTTGATTCTGCCAAGAAGGCGAGTCAAAATCCAGACAGAATTTGCACAAAGCTTCACAAGGTGGGTCACTCAGTTGGGCTCATGGCAGCTTGTTTTTGAACTTTAGGAGAGACCAAAGTATTTCAATGAAATACGATAAAGCACAGATGCAAATCTAAGTTTCAGTCAGGACATTCAGTCTGGTGGTTTTCTAAGTTCTTGTTTTCTAAGCAAAACTTTTGTGTTACAGTTGGCTAGTCACGCACATCAAGTAAAGAGAGATCTCTGGACCTGATGGATAAAAGCAGATTGTGCAGAACAAAGGCACCTTTTCCACAGAACAACCTGACAACAGTAAAACACAGTGGAAGCATTATATATGGTTACAGACAGCTGTCAGACAGCTGGAGTTGAAAGTTTAACAATTAGTTTGATTATGACAAAGAAATCATTTATTTATGCTACATCACACAAGTTAAAGGTTACAATTTTTTTAAGTGCCACATTGGTGCATTTCCTAACTAGTTGCTTTTTTTCCTCCGTTGTGCTTCAGTTTCAGTGAACACCTTTGAATTTCAGACACCAAATCAAACAAAAGCAACAAGATGTTCGTGCAAACATGGCAACACACTTAAAGTTTTTCATTTAATGTGTTTAAATCTTAATGCAGAAAGAGTGAAAAGTTCAAGCATGCTCTGCTGGGGTTATCTGAGTTTGGTCTTTGGACGTTTGCTTAAAAGTAAACAGATGGGTAATCAGAAGCCTCGGTGTGAACGGCTCCTACCTCAGTTGATCTTCGCAGTACACACCTATGCACACTCAAAGACTAAAATGGCGATAAATCCAGCAAAGAGTCAGGAATTAGTGCGTTTTGTTTTCTTATAAGCTTCCTGGCATGATTAATAGTCTAGTGATACAGATGAGCAGCATTTTGCAATAAACAGTACAATCACATTCATGTTGTAAGTGCACATTTGTTCATTTTGGTATGCAACTTTAACCAACACTAGCTGTGTTTCCTTTACAAATGTGTGCAAAACTGTTGGGAAAAAAACAATTTCGCAACTGTGCCGGCGTTTCCGTTAAATAGGAAACGCAATTAAGTTCACACGTGAAAAAGTTTGTTCACGCCATAAATCATTAAAGAAATAAAATGTCATGGCATCATTCCGCTACCACTTCCTGTCGTCATCCTCGTCTTTTCCACCAGTAATAATGTCTGTTGGTTGATCACATGATTCGTGTGATGCGAAAAAAAGTTTTTCCTTTGCAGTTTTGCAAAATACACTAATTTGGCTGGTAAAAAAACAACCTCATCCTAGTGCAAAAAATGAGCTTCTTTTTAGATAAAGCAAATTTGTTTTTGTAATTCCAAACTGCGCAATTATACGGCCAACGGAAACGCAGCTAGTGGAAGTCATTCTAAGCATTTCGCTGGCAGGCTGCACCAAACATAAGGAATAATCTGCAAAACTGCCGGAGCCCCGAGTGGCGACGTGAACACAGTGGCAGCAGGTTCACAGGCTGGTGATACGCTCCGTCCCCCAGCTGAGGCCTCGTCTTCCTGCTAGGGCCGGTCGCTGTATGCGCAGACAGGAGAGGCGTCGGCCGCAGGATTCTCCGCTTCGGGCTGAGCAGAGAGCTGACCCTGCTGAGACGCCTTCCTCTCCTTTTTGTCCAGCCAGAGGAAGGACAGCATCAGGAACAGACCGGAGGAGGCAACAACGGCACTGCAGGCGATAAAGACGTAGAAATATTGTTGCGTGTTGTCCACCAGGATCCCTGCAGCAAAGGAAAACAGTGACGGTAAGTATTTTTAATGCTACAGGTTGCTGCAGAACTGCTAACTTTAAGGTGCCAAACATTTGCCAGAGAACAGTGGTTTTAAGCTTTTCTACCTTGGAGGGCTGAAATGATTAAACGATTATTGAATTAGTTAATGAACAATCTTTAACTTGAGTATATAGAGTAAAACAAAATGCCATTTGCTAAAAAAAACAACCACATACTCAGAGCAGTAACTAAGCCAAAACTGTACAAAAAAATTGCATTTGAGATAAAAAACAAAAAAAACAACTTTCGTCTGTAAATATGTGGCTTCACCAGGTTCAAATTCTGTAAAAAAAATTAACATAAATAAACCTCTTTTTAAGCACCTTTCGTAGACAATTATTAATCTGTTAATCCAGAAAATAGTCTACAGATTAGCCTTAAAATCTACTGATGTTAAGTCCAGCAGAAATGAGCTTTCCGCATGTTGATGTTAGTACATCCTTTGCTGCAAGCATACGCTAACGGGATTTTATGTTATTGTATTTTAGGCAAAAAAAAAAGTTTCATATTCAGAAAAAGGAACTAAATAATTTGTTTATTTGCATCTTTCAATGTATTTTTAATATTGTATTTAAAAAAGGCATAAGTGGTCAAATAAACAAATGGTTTTTTTTACCACTTTTACCCAATTGCAGCCATATTTTCTTGTAGCCACATTCTTGCACAGGAAAGAAAACAAAGAAATAATCTTGAAAACACTTGTACAATTTCAGATCAACTAATTTAGAAATACCATTTATTTTAGTATCATAGGTGCTTCCCGGCTCCATCAACCCATCTGCTCCTCCACAGTCTCTTATCTCAACACCAATCGCCCAGAGGGACAAATGCTTTTCATTCCACCTCTTGTAACTTATGCAACAAACCCAAATATTTAGAGTTAATTTCATCACCATGTTCAGCCTCTGCATGTGAAACATTTGCTTGAATATTCCAAATGTCACAGATTTGTTTTCTGCATTTAAACGGCAAACTAGATGATTTTCAACAACTTTTACGTACTTTTATTGGAGAAATTGGGTAAAAGCTACGAGGCAGACACTAGAAGACAAGATGAATTTATAATACTTGTGCAGGAACTCATTTTCTGGCAGATTTTTTTTGCTTCAGGGCCAAATTTATCACCAGTTTTATCCCCATCCGTCTAACACAAGCAGCGCTAGTCTTTGAGAATCAGATGCTATTTGCTGAAAAGCAGTTTTCTTATTAAAGAAATGCTTCTGTATCTTAAAGATATCTTATAGATACAGAAGCATGGACTTTTCCCTGAAGTCATGCATTACAGCTCATTTAAATCTGGGTAAACTGCGCCGATGAAGTGGAACGCCATTTACTCAGTGAACTACATTTGCATTTTGTTCCTAAACAACAGAGACTCTCAAACTCAGGTTCACAAACATTTGTCACCGGCATCTACATTAGTAAATGTTTGATCATTACATATCCATATTTACACACTGTTTTGGACCTGACAATGCTTTTTTAAGAATCTTTTAGTTTCAGTGTTAATGATTAGGATTGATTTCTGCTTTATATACAATCTCAAACCTAATGCTGCGTTTATCCCGAGTGACTTCCCAACCTTGTGGCAACATTAAGTATTTTCCTGTTTGGAAAAGAAAATTTGCCGGAAATGGAAAGATGTCTATCAGAAAGTGCAGCGACTTTTTGCAGAAAGCAGTAATGAGCGACATGAGGTCAGGCAGAATGTGCAGTTTGAATATTTAGTGATTAATATGAGACTGTGCCACAAAATAAATTCATTTTCAAAAATATAACACAGAAAAAGAATGAAACTGAAAACAAAAAAATAAATTTAAAAAAAAATCCCCCAAAAATATGTAATATATCCAGCAGTTATAGACTAGAATCAGTTACTTTCAATAATTTGTTTAATTTTGGCTGAGGCTGAACTGAAAATGAAACAGATTTCTTTCACTTTAAATGCCTGAAAAACTGGTGTCTACACAAATGCACATCATCTAGGCCGGCAAGTCAAGCATTTATTTTAAATAACGTAAAAAATGAAATTCAATAGAAAACATTAAACTGCGACTGAATCATTTTCTTTTTTAAACTTACATCTTTTCTATGAATGTTTCGTAGAGATACCAGCATTTTCTAACCTGTTATTGTTGACCCCGTTTACTCCCACGTGCTCTGCAGGAGTAAACCAATCCTGACTTGTTGCTGAGGTTGCGTCACAGATCATCTAAATGGCAACCTGCAAACTGTCATCTGAGCCGTGAGCGATGGCAATCTTACAATCGTTTCCCCCTCTGCTGCTGCTCACACCCATCACTCCATAATGTAGCATACAACAATTTCCCCAACTCTGTCTAAACATGCCTTATTGACTGGAAACAACTGCAGTCTGCCAATCACCCTTTAGAGCAAACATGAGAACGTCTTCCTGTGAGGACGAGAGATTGTGACATAGTATTAAAATACTATACTATTTTGCTGATTATTTGTGTTCAAATAGAGAAAACTAGAGTTTGTTCAACTCGCAAAAAGAGCTGAATAAATGACCCTCACAAATTTACTGGAACTAACAAGAGTAAAGCAACAAACTGAAGACACAAATGACAAAAGAACATGTTTTGATGTTATAGTAAGCCATCATCCACTTTCATAAATACTGGGTCAGCCTTTTTCAATTCAAATGTTTCCACCATAAACAAAAAGACCGTTTCACAGTTATACCACGCCACCATTTGAAAACGAAGCAAAAATGCACCAATTGATGGTGGGAACAAAGTTAATTCTTACAGTTTCTGAAGAAACTGTGAAGATTTTGCTGATGATTAATTCATCACCATCAAATGTGACCACCGCAGGTCGAAAAAGAATAAGTCAGCATGACTTTTGGGTTTGCAAAGTCACAACTGAACCACAAGACTTCTGCAAAAAGATTCTTTCCACTAACACTTGTCAGCATCTCAACTTCTTGTGAGAAACAGATGACATGTTGCAAAACGTCTTCACCAGAGGTGTTCCGCTACAACCTTTTCACTTCCGATACGATGCAGCTTTGAGTTCTGGCTGATGCCAACAATGACCAGATACGATGTCAACACAAAGTACACACACTTTGACTTATTTTGTGGTGCAGAGTGTTAGAAAAGGCTTGATCAAGGGATATTAGACAGCAACAACAGTGGATAGAAATGCTGGGGCGCACTAAATACTTAAATTTTAGATCTAGGCCGATATGATCCGATACTTTTTCGGATGGTATCCAACTGATTTCCAATATCAATATCTGATCGGGACACCCTCAGTCTTTACTTTGTGAGACAGAGTTATCATTTTATGATATTTTGTGCGTTACCTGCCAGTGGAGGTCCAATCAGCAGCGTGATGCTCTCCATGACGGCAAGCAGCCCCAGCGCCGACGGGAAGCGCCTCATGTCCACTATATCCATCAGGACGGTGAACATCAGCGACCCGACCACGCTCATCGAAAGTCCGTACATGACCACGTACGCCACCAGCACGAGGAAGCTGGCCCCGATGCAGCAGATGCAGTTACTGAGCCCGTTGAAGAGCAAAGCGGAGGCAAACACATAAACGTGCCGCCCTTTGAACCATTGCATGTTGAACATGATGGCGAACGGCGGCCGCACCACGATGTTAACGATACCCAGGATGGAGAGCAGCAGCGCGGCCCGGCTCGGCTCCATGCCGTGGGCCGTGGCGTACGGAACCAGATACACCAGCGGCACCACGAAGCCCAGCATCATGAAGGTGATGCCTATGGCAAACACGCGGTAATGCCGGTTGTTGAGAAACTGATCGAAGGCCATGTGTTCTTTTACGGAGGCCACCAAAAACCTCCAGGCGGTCCTAAGCCTCGATTCCCGCTTCGCCTGCTTTTCCAACGGCACAGGTGTGCGGTCCATCAGCAGCTGGCCGCGATGCTTTTTGGGCTGAAGGGGCCGCATCACGGCGCCGCACACGCAGCTGTTCAGCAGGACGGCGCCCAGGATGAGAAAGCTCCCCCTCCAGCCGAACTCTGAGTGGAGGTAGTTCCCCAGGAAAGGCAGAGTGCAGAGTCCCAGCGCCGTTCCCGTGGACGACATGGCGTTGGCAAACGCACGCCGACGCACAAAGTAGTGACCCAGGATGGTGACAGCCGGCTGGAAACTGAAGCAGAAGCCGAGTCCTGCAACAGAGTGGAGATGCTGCTTTTAATATCTGAGAAATAAAAATTAAAGACTTGAGATCTTCTACTGGAGCGATGCACCGATCAGAATTTTTTTGGCTAATTCTTGATATCTGTTCTTTGTAAAGCTTTGATTTCCACACACATTTTATAAACCTGGAATTATCAATATTAGAAGCAGAGGCGATGTCACTGTGTGAGTGAAACAAAGGGTTCATTGTTTCCTTAGAGGGTCTCTGCCAGAAGATCTCAACTAGAGCTGCAACTAATGATTATCTTATTGGATTATTCTGATGATTAATTGGATTGAAAAATCTGAACATTTTTTTTATTTAACCACTTAAACCATTTTCATACAATTTCAGAAATACATTAAAAGAGCTGCATAGATTTAAAAAAATGAATTCCCTTTTTCAATTAGAAAATAAACATCTTATTGCCTTCAATGCAGTAACAGAAACACTTTAGTGCATCCATGATTATTAGTAGTAAAGGATGAATCTGCAGGTAATCTGGTTCAACACATAATACAATTTTTTTTTTAAATCCTTCTAAAATCAACATTTAAAAAGCTCGGTCCTTTATGCTCGACTCCACTACCATGTAGGGCTGTTCTGTTGAATTTTTTTTTTTTTTGTGGATTTATTGATAATTGGAAAGCAAAATGTGCTTTATATGAGGTTTTTTTTTTAACAGAATGCAAAACCAAGTGAAGCTAAAACTTGTCACTTGAGTTCTGGGTAGATCATAATTATAGACAAAGGGATTTTTTTTTTATCTTTCATTCAAAATATTTCTATATTTTGTTCAGTTTTTGACTACGTAATGCTCTGATTGTGTTGTTTTTTGTTTTTCAACAAATTGCCTTTTTTTAGAGTTTGTGTCCAGTTAACAATTGCATCGATTACTAAATGAGTAAATTATTTCAATGGCCAATTAATCAGATTAATCGTTTCACCTCGTGTCGTCAGTATGGATCACTTTGCTGACCTGTAATCACTCCAGCGGTGATGTAAAGCTCGGCGATGGAGTTGGTAAACGAGCTGGCGACCATTCCGAGCCCACTCAGGACCCCGCCCAGCATGACGGTGGGCCTGCAGCCGAGCTTCCCCACCAGCACGCTGCAGAACGGACCTGTGGATCACATGAAATGCTCTCAGTTTAATGCACACCGGAGCAGAAGTGGGTAAAGGCTCACGAGGCAGAGGCTGCTTTCCTAATCCTGCCTGCTTCACAAAACCTGCTCAGCTGCAATCTGAGCTAAGAAATGAAGTGTTTGCTTTCTTGTATTTGCAATCAGCGTGTTGAATAAAGCCATAAAACTTGTTAGGCTGCGAGACATTTTAAGTCACGTTCAGAAAATGTACAGAAACGTTTCTCTGATCTTTAATGCGTCGTGTGTCTTTAGCTGCAGCTCATAGATGATGTATGAGAGGGAAGTTTCACACTGTGAATCTGAAAGCCTGAGTATTAAATACAGAGATTCCCTTGGTTAAATGTCAGAGGGAGGGGTATCAAATTCAACACTGCTCAACTTTGTTTTTGAGCTACATGTTGCTACATATTTCCAGGGACAGTGTTTGACCTTGTTGAGGCAACAACTAACTATAGAAAAAAAACAAGCCTCAAGACCCTAGAAACACAATTACAAGCTCTTTTTTTTAGCATTTAATGTCCATGATATGAACACTAACATCTGTAGATCGTTCAACTTGTAAAACTGGAAAGGAAGTAGCAGCTTGGTGCAGCTTAATGGAGATAAATCTTCTTGTCTCATTTTTTTGGGGATTAAGAGCATTTCAAAGCTCAAAGCATTCCTGCCCCTGAAATCCATTGAAACTGCCTGAAGCCTGACTGTAACTTTCAGTGCTGCAGTTCCAGCGCTCGCTGTACCCGATGTGATCAGACAGCTGAACAACAGCGACATGATTTCAATTAGATTTGGTCTGCGGTGGATCCACAAAGCTTAGGCGCCGAATCCAAGCCCATCTGACATGAACAGAGCAGGGAAGAGGAAGTTCACACCGTGACGCGAAGACGTTCATAAATGAGGTCAATACACAGAAGAGCGTCTTGGCCTCCACGCTGTTCTCAGGGATTTATGTTATCAGTAGCAGAGGTGAAGCAGAGGGCGGCCGCCCGTCTCCACAACACACCAAACACAGGCAGGGGGGAGAAACTTCAAACTTCACCAATCACTTTCCGTTTACACATTAACTGGATCAAAACGCTTCAACGAAATCAACCTGTGCAGACAAGTCAGATGGCCTATTTGAAGGTGGATAAAAAAGTTTAAAGAAAATGATCCATATTGATAACATTATGGATCAGACAATAAAAACTAGTATTTCTCGACAAAATACCAGGTTTTTTCGTACCTAAAAACCTGCTATTTGAACAGGTGTGTTTAAAACTCACTGCATGTTGACTTTAGACGCCTTTGCCCACACAGCCGTCCCACGCTGTTTAATGTGTTACACCGAGTTTGAATAAAAGTCTGATAAAAAGAGGATGTTGACATTACTGGCTACACAGATCGTTCTCCGAGTAGGACAGTGAAAAAAAAAACCCAAGCAACTATTACAAAATAAGATATTTAGTGGCACAGTTCATTGTTTAGCTTAGCGATTCTGTCCTCACTTAGCATTTGTAGCCTGTTCTGTCACTACATACGTTACACTGAGCCCATATTATCAGTAAAGAGTTTAATTAAAAATTTTTTGCCCTACTTCAACTCACAGAAATAAGAATATCATAAAAATGCTGGTGGCTTCAAACTGTGCCAGGCATGGTGGTGGCAGCATTATGCTGAGGGTCTGTTTTACTGTTCCTGTTAAAGGTGGATGGAATAACAGACTAGGAGAACTGCCTCCAAATTACTCCACTTCACCTTAAATCTCCAAATAAATGGTAGAAAGGTGAACATAACTGGTTGTTCCAGCAGGACAAAGATCCCAAACTGGTTTTGGAGTAGATATGATTAGCAAACATTAAGCTTGTGGAATGGTCCAGATGAAAACCCTGTTGAAAATATATAAACTGAGCTTAAATGTCTGGTCTGGTGAGAACCATCTCTGGCAAGGATTGGGTCAAAAACCCAAATCAGAATGAAAAAAATCAGAAGTTAATTTACAGCTGTGAGAAAATGACTGGTTTCTCTGCTACGTTCAAAACGAACGTTAAACCAAAGTGTAGAATTCAGGCAATTTTTTTTTCTTAATTCACAATTAATTCAAACTTTCTCACCAATTTCTTACTTTCAAAATTCATTGCAGTTTCCTGTTGTATGTACCTTTAAAAAGAACTGTTTAAATTAATTGTGAAGGCCTGAAATTAGTATGAAACTCTTCCCAAGGATGAGTGGATGTAAATTACTGACCTAGAACCACATGCAGGCTCCAGCCCGTCTGGGTGTCTGAACATAATTAGGCAGGTAAAAAGAAGGGAATAGATGGATGGGGGAAAAAAAAAAAAAAAGCAGGACTCTGAAAACTAAAACGTTCCGTTTTGGTTTTGCGAAATAAGCCTGCCACGGTTTCTTGCGAAATAATCTCACCTAAACCAACACAAACACAGCAAGACTTGCAAATTCCCACTCTCACCTTTCACATGTTCCCCTGAACAATACAAGCATTCATCTCATCCTCTGTGGCGTGTTAAAGGGCAACTTCTAAGGACATTACATTTGCAGATGTTAATACAACTGTAACCGCAGTCATATTAACATCTACATTGTTATATTATTATTGTCATGAAGAATTCCAGTGAATGTTTAAAAGCACCAAAACGGTCCATATTGTTGGGACTGTTAGCCATTTTCTCAGCTGTTTGTTTAGTGAGAGCATTAAGAAACATCAATAAATGTGAAAATATGATAAAAATCCAGTTACTGTGTGCAGTACAGTGATACAAATTAGATTTCTTTATGTGACTGATGTCCCAAAGAAGACAAATGGAGTGTTTTTTAAGGGCAGTCACAGCCATACAAGTTACCTAAAACAGAAGTAAAAAAAAAAAATAAGTAATCGTCACTTTTATTGTTATCACAACAGCACCACAAAATACCATGAAAAAACTTGTTTTTTGCGCATTAAATATCTGAAATGCTGCCAAACTGGTGGCATGTTTTTTTTTTGTTTTTAAGAAGTTATGAGGCACAGTGGCAAAACCTGGAACTGCTACTGTGCAAGTTACAGGATGTTGCTAGGTAACCACAAGTTACTCAACAGGATGTTGCTAGGTAACCACAAGTTACTCAACAGGATGTTGCTAGGTAACCAAAGTGTGACTGAGTTAGTTGATGCCACCAACCTTTCCTCAGCCTACATCGCCCAGAATGCTACGCGGTTCTGGATCGTAGTCCAGTGAAATTACTGAACGTTAAATCAGGCGTATTATTTATTGATATTGATCATGTGTCTCTATCGCGACATATATTGTCATTGATTTATTGTCCAGTTCACATATTTGCGTCGACCTTTAAGGACGGCCACGACTCAGCCGATTTACCTCCTGCATGGAGCGCCGACGTCATGATGGACGGCACCCAGGACGTTTCGCTGTTGGAGGCGTGGAACTCGTTCTGCAGGTCTGTGTAGAAGATCCCCACACAGGCGGGGAAGCCCAGGGTCATGGCCAGGACCAGGATGGTTGCAACCAGAACCGCCCAGCCCCAGCCGCCATCGGGAGCGGTGACGGCTCCTCCTGTTATAGCGACGGGGTCTCCGCTTTCACTCCCCCACCCACAGTCAGCAGCCGCCACCTGCCCCTCGTCGTGGTCCAAACCGTTGGCCAGGTCAAAGGCCTTGGAGGTCTCCGAGTGGAGACCGGGATCACTGGAGCCCCTGATTCCATTCTTCTGAGTCATTTTCTGCTCGGCACTTGAGGCGGGACTCTGGCGTTGGCTCTGCAGGATGTGAAGGAATGTTGGCTGCCCATGTCACTGCAACCGCTGGGGTCCTTCCAGGAGACCTGGGATCACAATCGCATAAGGAGAAACGTCAGAGTGCACACTTCAATCACTTTTATTTTTTTATCTACTCTTCTTAGCAGATTAGCTCAAACTCTGAGCAGCTTCCCTGCATCTGCTGAAGGAATGTTTCCTCACAGCATGATGCTGCCACCACCATGTTCCACACAGAGCATGTAACATGTCCTAAAATTAACCCCGGTCTCATCTGACCTGAGCACTTTCTTCCACTCTGAACTGTTCTTGTCTAAGTTTTAAAATGTAAATACGCACATTGGCGTCTAATCAGCAATGCAAGTTGAAGACCTGCACTAATATCATACAAAAAAAAAATATCATTAAACTTATTTGAATGAACTCAGACTTGCACTTATCTTAAATAATTTAGGATACACTGACATGTTTAATGTTACGTTTTAGAATTTAAAAAATTGGATAATTTCACAAAAACAAATAAAATCCTGCAATCTTCTATTATGTGAAAGACAGAAAATCCTGCAATGCTGACACACATGAATTTGCCATTTTACCTTTGACAAAAAAACAATACATTCAACACAACTGCATCTGTTTACCAGTGTTGGGATTAATTTGAAGAATTTGTTGAGGGGAGAAAAACTCCATCAATAGATTAGCTCGTTTATGTCTTTGCATTTTTTCCAGCTTTTCATGCCACTTAGATAAAAGTGTTTGCTTTTAGTTATCTCTGGGTCCAGGCTGGAGCACAGAGGAGGCCAAGCCTTTATAGCCCTAGCTTATAAATAATGAAGTGGACCTGCACTTACTTGCTAGGCAGCTGCCAAAACAACCTATTTTTAGGTCACATCTTAAAACATTACTTTGGTTTAAACCCTGATAAATTCCTTTATAGTTCGCAGCCTTTACCATTTTCTTTGTGAAGTACAAGACTGTTTTAAAATTTTTTTAGCTAATTAAATCAATTAAAAACATCTACAAATAGATATTGAAGGCTTCGTTTAATCCCAGCTGAAAGTGAGTGGTATTTGTAAAGAGACAGCCGATTACCAAGGGGACAAAAAAAAAAAAGCAAAACTTGGAGCTCTGATCTCATCTAACATTACAAAATTACTAAAGAGGTTTTCACAGAACCAATGAGAAAAGCTCCAAAGTTGGAAAATGGACAGAAGATCCTGCCTCATTAATTCATTTAGTTCTTTATTTAGTCGTTTTTGCACAATCAAAGCCTCCAGCAAGAGCAGCCTGTTGAGCACATTTCCTGTGCAAACCATTTGTCCGCATTTAATAACAAAACATGACCAGACATCCAGAACTTTACCCCTGCAGCTGCTAATTTAGCAAAGCCCTGATAAGTTTAAGGAGGAACCGACCTGCTCGGCGTCGGAGGGAGTCGAGCCAACGTGACACCAGCCTGAGCTTGTAAAAACCACTGAATGAAAGGCCTTCTGTGAAAACATTCCCCCAGCAGTTGGTCCAAAGACATTCAACACCGTTTCCACATGCAACTGCTGAGCAAATCTCCCGAGACTCTTTTCCCAAGAACAAATCACCATCTCTTTCAACCCTGAGGCGTTATCAGGACATCATACAGATTATCTGGTCTTTACCAGGTTCACTCAAGTGTACAAAAACACAACAGGGATCCATTATTTATTTAAAAAAAAAAAAATTAAGTAAACTATTTTTCAACTATCTTTAAGTTTTACTAGAATGCATCAATTGCACATTTCTGGCCAAAAGTCGATTATCGATCTTTAAAAAGCATGACCTGCCAATTCTGATTTTGGCCAAAACTTATTTTTTTATCCGAAATGTCAGATAAATTTTTGCTATATTTTTTTTTTTTTTTGTTGCTCAATATAGCACAGGTTGCTGTGTATTGCAGACTTCTACCCACGTCCATCTTGAAAATGAGATCTGGATCTCAACAGGGTTTACCTGGATAAATAAAGGAAATATTTTTTTTTTTTAATTCACCGAGTTGGCAGCAGTGGGGTGACCATTGTTAACTGGTTCAATACTTCACATGGAAGTATTGGAAGATAACGCTTTCCTAAAATTAAGAAAATCAGTGTTCATAAATTGGTTAGTTGATAAATCAGTTAGTTGATAGATCATCGGGGTGATAAATCGGTGCACTCCTAATTTTTACTAAACTTAAAATACAAAAAGTGCAACTATATGTAGGCCTGTCACAAAAGAAAAGTGAATTTTCAGTGTTGAATTATTTAATCAAAAGGAAAAAAAGTTCAGAAAAATTCAAATCCTGTCATTTATGAAGAAATAAAATGCAGATTTTGACTTCCTCTAGGATTTCACTTCGCTAAATAATACAGGTGTCCCATCTTCTTCTTTTACACAAAGAGTGTAATTAGTGTAATTCCTATGTCTAGATGTCGTTACTGATTCACAGCTTAGAAATGTCACTCAATTATTCTGCTGCGGTGTTGACACATGCTCTCAAACAGACTTTGTGATGGATGAAACTGTGATTTAGGCATGGGCCGGTGTGGGACTGTCAAGGTCAAATTAATAACACAGATTTATTTTATTCAGACAAAAATTAAAGCAAAGCTGTGAATTGTGATCTAATTGAGTTAATTTAGAAATAGGCAAGTACCCCTTATACTTACTGCTAATAATATTAATTATTAAAAGTTAAAATATTGTTAAATATAACACTTATTTATACCTGTTCATTCAGTTTTTATAAAGTAATATAAATTAACAAGGTGATATTTCTGGTTAATAATAGGGTATTCAACAAACATGCCACTTGTAGCCAATAAAAAACCCCAACTTTAATAGCACTAATTTTTGGAAAATGTTGAATTCATTTGTTTGGATTTAATCTACAAATAATTTATATCAAAATGTATCAGATTGTCAGCAACTGCTGCCCGACTAGCACAAGTGGTTCAGCGATTTGGAAGAAGATCAGTTATTATCGCATCAACATCTTAGTTTATGACGTTGATTTGTTTGTTTGTTTTTCCTCAAGAAGAGGGCTGTTAGCGGGGAGAGGTTGTGTGCCTGGCTTACTGTGGGGTGGCAGAAAATCAAATTTGCCCCGGGCACTAATCCTTTTCCTGCCAGACGAGTGAAGAAATCCCCGTGGATCTCATTTATCTTTGGTGAAATAGTTTGATGGCAGCTGACCTTTCTGCGGGACGAGCCACCCTTACAGGATGGAGGAGCAGCTTTAATGTCACTGAATGAAGCCTCAGCTTTTAAAACTCTCGTTAAACAGCTCTCTCTTTCTCCCTACATTCACTCTCGACTCGTCTTTATTTCCCCTTGTTTACGTCTAAAAGTCACGCATCTAAACCTGGGTTTCCAACCCAAACACAGTCACAATACTTTCAGACCACACTGGTTTCTCTGCCACGAGATAAAAATGTAAATATGTTTCTCAGTAGATCTAAATCTCGTTGTTTCTCGCATCACCGTGAACTGTGAAGCTTCCCTCTGACGGATGAACGTCTCCAACATCAGTTCAGGAAAGAGGAGGAAGTGCTTTCACCAGAAGCCATCTCTTCCGTATTTTTATTTTTTTTAAACAAACGCAGTTACTCACCTTTCCAGCCGTGCTGCTCCTCGGTGTCTGCCGGAGGAAAAACTGTCGAGCTGATATTAGCTCGTAACGGACCACGCCGTCCGCCGCGTGGGCGGGGACTAGATGCGGATCACGGAGACGCTGACGGGAGTGAGCGGAGAGCAGGCCTCGATAAGCCCCGCCGTTGGCTGTCCCTGAGCGGATGTGGCAAGCGGTTTTAACATTTAATAACTTTAAAAGTCAAAAGTTACCAGCATGCGTCAGGCTTACAGTTTTTTACAAATGTTTAATATGGACCATATGGGCGTTTACCCAGGGTGACATTAGAAAGGGGGTGCAAAGTCACCATATAAAGAAAATATTATTTATCTGCAGTCAATGGCCCAATCATGCTGCTGAAAATAGGATTATGATGGCGTTTTTGCCCTCAATTAAACAATACCAACACCACAAGTTATTCTATGGTGTATTCTTTCTGTTTAGCTATCGCAGATGAGTGTGAATTTTAGCGATGCTCAATGTGAAAATTTGAAGATAGACAGATGACTGAATAATACAAACTAAATGCTGTTACCCATTGAATAATTTCTATATTATTTATATTGCTGTTACATGAATAGTGGCTAATATCTTCCTGCTGTTCCTGCATTCTGCCACTGCTGGTGAAATATATCAAACTCATTTACTCTAATTTTGTGTTTATCAGCTGGTGTAACTTTCAAATAGTTAAAAATTATAACACATACCATGCTGCATTTCAAAATGCACTTTTTTTTTAGTTTGCTACTCCTGGTATGATGTAAGCAAATTGCAAATGATGCTAATGATAACAAGTATGTCGCACACACAGAGTAGCTTAGCAGTGATAAAGCAGATCTGGTGGTGACAGAGTATATGGGGAGCCCAAAGAAAAATCTGCTCAGGGGCCCAAAAAAGCTTGGACCGGCTCTGATCTCCAGCTCTGTGTCTTCTCCACCTGGCCGGCCACCCATACCTGTCTGTGAAGAAGCGGCAGTCATGCTGCACGTCCTAGCAACTGGTTGAGCTAACTCTCAACCTTATCAGCTCAGTGCCTGAGGCCTTTCATCTCTACCAGCTGCTTTGCATTTTGCTGATTAAAACCACCTGATCATGGATCCACCAAGCACCTGCCTGGCATTTATTAGCCTTTCAGTTTTAGATGATGCTCCCATATTCCAGCTTTTTGCACTGCTGGCATTATTTTGTTTTTGTGCCATCTGTGTCAGTTTAGCTGTTGTGTAGTAAGTTTTCCTTCGCTTTGATTAAATGAACAAACAGCTTGCCATAAACGTGTTCATGAAAAGCAGTGGAAGGTGGACACAATGTACAATTCATAGAGGAGGGAGAAGCTCACAGAATCAGCTGCTGCTTTAACCAACACGGTGCGGACTGAATCACTGGGCAACAGCAAGTAAAATCCCTGAACCCTAAGACGTCATGCATACAATTTGTGTTTCAATTTGATTCACTAAATCTGAGTTTTATTTATCAAAATGTTCATTCTAGAAAGGAAGAATATAATTTTGGGGTAGGGAGGTGAACCCAACAAAAAATGAAATTTGTGTGAAGAATTTTAAATTTGGGTTAGGATATAAAACAATCTTAAAGAGAAACAAGACACAGTGTGACTCGACTGCAAACCCACCTTAATTGAAAGGCGAGAGAATATAACAATTCACAATCTCGTAGTTCTGGACTTTATAGTAAAGAGGCAAGACAAAACACTTCAAGAGAAAGCCAGTAAAAGTCCTGTTCAAGTTGTCCAGCAAATTATGTATTAGTATGTCCAAACCTGTTGAGACTAAACTGAAGATTAACGATGCATATCATGCCAACAAACTTGTGAAACGTGAAGTTATCAGGACGTAGAAGCTGGTCAGGATAAATACAGGGAAATTAAAAACTGTTAGAGGCGGCAAAAGACTTGAGACTGGGGCCGAGGGTCACCTTAAACTTAAACCAGTAATCTGAAAATACTCATGGAAAATTAATTACAGATTATCTTGAAAAGTATGAAGGGATGCTGGACTATTCCGATGTCGATTAAACTCTGAATAATTCGCTTTGGGCGACCTCTGGTGGCTTGTTTGCTGATGTGAAGTCGAGGCTTAATTACTGTAAGGCCAAAACGATCTCAACGTAATCAAAAAGTTTTATATGTGAAAAACTAAAATAGAATTAGAAACTAAAAATCTTAGAAAGTGAATTTTATTTTGTTTTGAAACATAATGATTTACTGCTGAATTATAACATTATTCCTTTACTGACCTTGAAATTCAATTTAATTAATTTAAATCCCGCAAAATGGACCGTAGTGTCTGATTAGTTAACCTGCAGAGCAAGTCAACTTTAGGGTAAATTATTTTAGAAAAGAGCAGTAGCCCCGCCCACTGACACCCTCAGACCACTGCAGTCCAACTCAAGACGTCTCCCTGGTTTTAACCAATATATATAAAGAGACTGAGGTTTGTTGTAAATCAGATCCTGAATATTTATTTTCATAGTTTGTGATTAATCGCTGCAGATTCTGATACTCAGGGGAGACACTGTTTCTTTCCATTTATTACTTTGTTTTTCTGTTCTCTGACTGATTTGTAAAGAATCTTGTTTTTAAAATGCTGCAGTCTATAAATAAATTGACATTGATGGTTGAGGTTGACAGATAAATTCATAATTTGTTGTTGCACTCACCGATGAAACCTTTTAAAAGTGAATTAACTATGCTCTTTTTGGAGATAAAATTGATATTTCTTTTTAGTTTGAAGATATTGCAAAGAATAAAATCTCAGCTATGTTTGTTTTACATGGCTGAACTTATTTAGTTTGTTCCTATCACGTCATGGTCGGATTTCAGTCACAACCTGAAAGTCTGAGCTTATCAAGAGAAATGCAGACACTGCTTTCTCCTCAAATGTTTAATTAATTTGTCTTCCTATTTGGGTGAATAAGATAAAGTTTATTATTAAAGTAGAACATCAGCCTGTATTTTCTTTAGTCAAACAGAAGCAATAAATAGTCAGGGAGCCATGTTTTAAAACACAGACATATTTTTTATGATTACAAACCAGACAGGGCTTTGTTAAAATTGTTACATGTAAAGTAACAACATTGGTAGACAAAATTTGAAAAAATATAAAATAAATTAAAGTGAAACAAACAATTAAAATGTTAAATGTTCTCCACAGTCTTCATTAACAATATTCACATTTGACATCAATACTGCTGATAAATGAGCACAAAGTAAGTTAATATGCGACATTTCTAATACATCTAAATGAGTATATGCGTGTGCATGTCCACAAATGCATGCAGGTGCTTACAGGTTAACTGGTGAGTTGATCCACAAGACATTTTCAGTTTCTATATATTTATATATTTATATTTATATATATTTTTTTGCATGGTCTTCTGCAGGTTGCAAAGAAAAAAAGCACTCCCTAACTCAAAACTTGTTGTGGAAAGGTCTCCAGTCTGACTGGCAGGTTAATTTGTGTTCAAAACTACATACACGGCACAAAACAAACAAAGAAACAAAAAAACAACAACAAATAACAGAACCATGTCGTCCATGAGTCACGAGTTCATCTATTTGTCGACCAACTGTTCCACACAGAAATATACAACGTACAAACCAGAGCCATGCCGTCATCTTCGCCCCCCATCATGCTTCACATCAACTTTGCACCAACACAGAGGTCAGACGAAGTTCAGAACATAAGATTATTATCCTTAGAACAATGCATGCTCTCATCTTTTTATGTGCCCAGATACTCCTTCTTTTTTTTGGCAGTACTGTACAACATTTTGTATAGAAACTAGTTTAAGTGATTAAATCTTTTGCTCATTAACAGCGTGTTTCTGTAGGCAGATAGTTGGAGAATCACACGGCAAAGTTTAATAAGGTAAGTGGTTCCCAACATATTTGATCCCGTAAAATAAAGCAGTGAAGAAAACCTAAAACCACAGGAGGGATCTTTGTTGCATCTCACTTTAATCTAAAACTTTTATATTGTCTCTAAGCTTTTAATGAAAGCCTTCCAGATAAACTGTGGCTGTGATCAGCATCATCACTGCTTTCTACTAAAAACTACAGCTAATTATCATCCCACCTCAAACAATATAACTTAAATGGTTTGCCAGCTGGAAGCTAAGACAAGAATTAGCATTAGCTAAATGCCAATATCACTTTCATTTAAAAAGGGCTTTGTGCTGAATGTCAGGTTGTATAGTGACAGCATATTTTTGCCATTTTAAAATTCAATTTGTCTCAGTACTAAAATTGCAGCAACATTTTAAAAAATATTTTTAAGAAATGTTTTTTGTTCAGGCTAACTGTGAGAAACGATGATTAGCATTAGCGCTGCTAACATCAGTTCATCCCTGAATTTTTACTTATTTTAAAAAAGCGTTTACCAAATTTGCTTAAACAGACTGACTTTGGGAACACATTTATTTGCACTATGCATAAGCTAGATCTTAAAGTCACAGCTAAAAAACAGTAAAAAAGAAAAGTCACACAACTAACTCCATTTGGCTCAAATAATTACCATTGTTGTAAATGTCTTATTAGCATTATCTGAGACAGTCTTTTGACTGGCAACAGTAATATGTGTTTTCTAAATAGTAATTTAACTGATTATCTTAAATGAACATTGACTACCAAAGTAGCTTATTAAAAAAATAATATTTTAAAGGTTTCCCTCATGCTAACTCTGGGAGGCTATAATTAGCATCTTTCACAAAAATCTCTTTAAGGTCTAACACTGACAACACTTTCACTTTAAAAACTTCCTAGACATGGAGCTAAATGTCTTTTAATCAAAATGATGGTTTATTTTACAAGCTAACATTTTCTTTCAAGCACAAACCAGCTAAAATCGCTCTTAGCCTTTGATTTTTTTGAGATTGGATCAATCTCGGACTTTAAAAGGAACATTGGACAGTTTAAATATTAATCACAAACATATGAATTATTAAATGGGGATGTTAGCATGCCACTTAAAATATAAACTGCAAAAGGATCTCAAGTTCTCAGTCAAATTGATTTCTTTTAAAAAAGTGCACTCCTGATGTTTTACTAAGATACTAGCAGAAGAAGAGAACTTTCTTTGTAAAATGAATGTGTTGGAAGTACACCCATTTAGTAACTTTGCATATACAATAATTCCAACGAATCATTAGAAATGTTTGTCCCAGAAAGAGGTAAAGTGCAACTGAAAGTTGGGTGACGTAGCTCAAAATCAGTCAATCCCAAAGGAAGTAGTCACTAATGCTAGCTTAAAACAATCCAAGGGATCATCTTAACCATTTGCGGGATTTTATCAGTTTTCCCAAACTGGTTTCACAAAGCAAATATGAAATTACAAATGTCTGAAAGCCCAGAATGATTCAGTTCAGGTTTAACCTGTATCTTTATGATACGGTTTTAATGCTCGTCTCAATCTAAAAATTTTCCAGATGACAAAAAAAGCATGAAAATCTCACAACATTTTACAATTGTCCTCAAACGTCATTGGCTTGACATGCAGATACACACAGAAAACTTGTTTGGGGCACAACTGACAGAGTTTTTTTTTTTTTTTTTTTTGTGGCTTGTGCCGCCCCTTGGTAGAAGGGCGCCCAGGCCAGAGAGCCTTAATGCCTATATTCAAAATTATTTTCATTTGGTAAAAAACAAACAAAAAAACACTGCACACTCTATACTTTAGGTAGAAACCTCCTGACTTTTTTAACCCTCCTGTTGTCCTCGGGCCATTTTGACCCGCGTATAGTCATTTCGTGTAATTTTGAGCCGAGGACGACAGGAGGGTTAAGAGTATGACAGGCATCTTCTCATAAAAGGGGAGTACTACTGAGCACAACACTGGTGAAAGGCACAACACTGAACGCAGACAAAGGGAAGTAACAGCCAAGGTAAGAAAACAAATACTCCTTCATGAAATGTTTGGGTATTTTCAACTGCAGGCTGTCTGCTCATAACTACTGTTAGTAGGATATAGCTTCACAACACACACACACACACACACACACACACACGCACTGAAGAAAGAGAAGGAAAGAAAACATTGCCTCAAAGTTTGGGCTCCGAGTCCCAACTTAACCATAAGCATGAAAACACTGATTCTTTTTTTTTCTTCCCTCATCAAGATACATAATTTTTGTTCATGCTTGATTTAAAAGCAATAAATATGTTCATGTTAAGGTTGAAACAAACAATGCCAGTTCTATAGATGACCTGTGTTAAAAAATATGTATATCTGTTACTATGTAAAGAGTGGAACCTCCAGGAGCTTTAAGGAGAAATAGTTAAAATGCGAGTATGCTTTTAGTGTACTATATGAAAATAAAATGCATCAAGGTCAAAGGTATTACAAAATGAATGTGATGCTGTTTTAGGAAGCAGGGTTTCCCCTTTACGAAGAAGATATGCCGAGGTTTTAAAAAGTTACGATTTCAAACACGTGTAAATTTTCCACCATGTCGTTTTTACAGCTCACAGACTCTAGAGAAAGTGCCAAGGTAAGCAGAGATTTCTCCAGCTGTAAGAAGCATAGCACGCCCCTACCCCACCTGTTGCTGTTTGATGATATTCACTTGGCTGAGAAAAGGTGTTTCCCTTGACCAGAACGGCAGGAAGGTTTGATACTCTGCACATTTACTTGAAACGTACTGTTAATTTAGCCAAAGTCTTTGCTGCAAAGTCAAAATAATCAAATGTTATACATTTTGTACACCATGATAATCAACGTCAGCCTGTTAGCAGCAGTAAGCATAAATATTACTTTTCTTTTAAAAAAAAAAAAAGAAAGCAAATAGAACTATTGATACATGTTTGCTTCTATTTTTATTTTTTTTTGTGATACTGTGGTTATTTTTCTCCAGGTTATAGAACCGAAATAATCGGACATCTTTTAGCGAGGCGGGCCGGATCATTGTTTTAGGATAAATTACCTGTTATGGTCATTCATCGAGCAGGAAATTTTAAAACAAAAAGAAAAAAATAATAATCAGAAAACTTTGTTTCCCGCATTTTCTTTCAGTTAAAAATAATAGTTTGGGTTCTAATGGTTGGTATTAATCATTAAACTATATTTCTAAGTTATCTCAACTAAATAAATACATTGATGTTAGAATCCAAAAAGTGAAACTACATTCCTTTTACATCAATAATATATTTATTTAAAGTTTTTTTTCTGGTACTTTTTTTTATTATTATTAATGCTTACTGATATTTTTTTTCTTCCAATCAACTTTCCATCAATATTCTTGGCTACAGCTTTCTGTGAACAATGAGCTTTGTGACTTAATTTCTACATGGAAAGTGTCGATGAGCATCTTCTGGACAGCTTAAGTTACCAGTCATGATTACACGAACTAACAACTGTGTACTATTTTTGGTGGTCTTATGTAATATTCAAATTTTCTGGAAAGCTGAATTTTTAGGTTTCCTTTGGCTAAAAGTCACTTTTATCAAAATGAACAAGCAGAGATCAACACTTGAAACATATCCCCGCTAGTAGAATAAATCAATATATAAACTTTTCAACTATATTCTCATTTAATAAGATGAAACTGTATATATTTCAAGAGAAAACCTGCTGCATCTAAGTTGCTGGCCATCTACCGCAAAAACAAAAAAATTTAGCGTTTGATTTGAAGAGGATAAAAGTCAGGACTCTTCTGCTCTGAGAGGTTCTCTTACAAACTGCAAGGTTCCTGCATCGATGGAGGCTCGGGGTTTAAGTGCGAGCAGGACAGTTTGCTCGCGCTGCGGCTGCTACACATGCTGCAGACTTCAAGACGACATTTGGCTGCAAGGCTGAGAAGTAAACACAAGACGCAGCGAATGTGTTGAGGCCGATTACGGACTGGCCATGGTTCGAACCTCGCCACGCTTTTATGCTCAGACGGCAACAGGCGAAAGGTTTCTTCATCCCTAATTACAATTTTAAGATATGCAATAGATCAAAGTAGGATATATATAAGCTGTAAAACACCTTTGTTTTTTTTGTTTGTTTCCTTTTTCTTTTCAGGTACACTACAGAAAACGTGCAGGTGAAAAGTGTGATATTTCAGTGATGGACAGAAAACAGAGAGGCACTGCACACACAAACTCACACTCTAACGGGCGCTTAGTCTGGTAACAAAACTGATATATATATATATATATTTCCCCCCCCTTGTTTAAATAAACTCACCCACAAGAATATGTAAATATAGGACAGCTATGATACAGAAGTCAGTAATTACACCGTTTGCATTCAAAATTTCATATATTTTCATCTTGACAACTATATAGGTTTTAATATAGATTCCTTACATGCCTGGACACGTTTGTGCACTAGTGGAATAATGGTCCGTTTTGAGTCAGCTGCTTTCTTTTGCGTGGAAATATTCCAAATTTTCACAGATCGAAATGAGCCGCATACAGGAAACGGAAAGGAAGAAAAAGGGTCTCTTCCTTCTTCTCTGTGAGCCGTTAACGAGCGGAGAAGACGCTGCGCCTATCAGGCTCCGTCTCCAGAAGTAACGAGGAAATCTGCTGCGTCGAGGCTCCGTTTGCAGCCGGGGTTTAAAAAAAAAAAAATGGAGTCCTTTTAATTCCTTTATGCCTGCGGAGTTTCTGCTGAATTGATCCAAATTTGTGACGCACAGCGAACATCCCAGATCTGATAAAAGCCGCTAAAAGGGAAAGAGGATTTATTCTGTGCACCCATCCATTGAGATCAACAAAACTTCACCGTCACAGCCAAAGAGGAGAATCGCCTCACTCGTCGTGTCTTTAAAACGGGGAGAAGAAACGAGGAGAGAAGCCGGGGCCGCCTTGCAACGCTAAAGACGAGGAAGCGTCGGGGAGCCTCCGCGGTGGAAAGGCACGCTGGAGGAGGGGGGGCAGCTGGCTGATCGATGATAACTGGAGTGCGCGCTCGTGGTTTTGATGATGCCGTCGGTTCTGCTCCGACTCGCCGGTTCCTCACATCCGGGAGCCTCGCTCTTGAAGGATCTGAGGGCCGGAAGCAAAAGTTGAGTTAAGAGAGTTTTGAGATTCTTCTAAATCTTTTGGTGGTGGTGTTGTTTTCTTACAGGTGATGCATCCATGCAGGTGAATCCTACAACAAGTTAAATGATTTAATTTAAAAAGTGAAACTTATTTTCACTTCTCACCCTTTATATACTAATTAGGGGTGCACAGATTGCAGTTTTCTGTCCAATCTCCAATTACAGATTTTTTAAAAGCCTGACCTGTGGACTTCCGGGTCAGTGTTGCAAAAAGATGGTCACGTAGAAACAGGCTCCTCCATGTCGGTATTTAAATTTCCCCCCTGCTTAACTCAGATAATTACCAAAACTTCAGTCTAAACCACTTAAAGTGGGAAGATGCCGAAAATTAACAAGACCAAAAAGAAAACGTCTAAAAGACAAGATACTGGTGAACAGTCGGGAGACGGTAGTGAGGATGAGGCTAATGCAACCCGAGGAAAGCGAGCGTTAACTTACAACAACACGCGTTACTGGAGAGTATCAAGACGCTTTCTAAAGACTTAAAAGAGTTTAAAAACGAGATGAAGCAAGACATAGAAGAACTCAAAGAAAGCATAAAGGCAACAAATGAAGGAAGATCTCAACAGATTCAGAGAGGAAATGATGCGCGAGCTGCAGAACCAGAAGGGCAGTATCAACAAGGCGCAGACCCGAATAGCTGACCTGGAGGCTGCGTGCTTGGAAATGAAAGACGACACTAGCAGGGACTCTGAGGGATGTCTTCACACATCTCTCCCTTTGGAAATTTATCTGTGTTTTAATAGCTTGTTCAGCTATTTGTTGGGGGCTCTTTTTCTAAAATCACATGGTGACCTTACGAAACTAAATAATGGCTGATAATATCAACATGGTTTCGTTGAATGTGAATGGTATGAATAATCCTATAAAACGTTAAAAAAAATCTAACTAAAATGCAAAAAGAGAAAGCACAGTTAATCTATTTACAGGAGACACACCTGTCTAAATCTGAACATGAAAAACTCAGGGGCTTTGGCTACTCAAATATATTTTACAGCTTTTTCAGATACAAATTAAATTTGAAAGACACAGGTTTTGACATCTTTTGTCTTTTATAATTTCTATGTATTGTTTGACCTTTCTTCTTGAGTGTACTCAAATAACATCAACAAAAATAAAAATACAGTTATAAAAATAAAAAAAAGCCTGACCTGTCAT